AGATTGTAGAACCTTTGTCAGTGTCAGCCATGTGGATGAGTCACAGCCATTGCTTGGCCAGTGTGCTCTCTGTGAAAGCCTGAGAGAGTGATTTCTCTCCATGTAACACTCCTTAGGCACACTCTACATCATTGATCACTTTCCTCTTTGGCCCCATAATCTCCTTGATCAGAAAATTTGGGACACTGTCGAGTTACATGACGTTACAGTACAAGTTCTCATATGTCCTGAGTCTTAATTGACCTTGGAAGGCTAGGGCCAAAATGTTGGCTTTACTTGCAGCCCTCCTTTTTCTCTAATTTTGGTCTGCAAACCTAGGTTGTTAAAAAAGTGTAATTATACACAAGGAAAATATTCTATTTTACAGAATACTAAAATATTGAAAAAAACTGTATAGTCAGTGATACACATTAACATCTTACTCATTTGTAAAGAATTTATATAGTCATTAAGGTTAATATTGTTATACATACTATTAATTTTAAAGAATCTGTTACTAATCATAATATATAATAAGATCCTAGTTTTGTTTTCCTCACTTTTTTTTTGCGGAACCAGGGATTGAACTCAGGTCCTTTCACTTGCCAGGCAAGTGCTTATTGTACAGAGCCATCTCCCCAGCCCATTTCCTTACATTTTTAAAGAAAGTATACTACATTTTTTTGATGAGCAGAATATATTTATTGGGGTGAAAGAAAGTTCCTGTCAAAGAGAGGGACAGGAGGGGGGCCCTGAGCAGGTGGTCCCCAGAAAGCTCTCTTCCAGGGACTTTTAGAGAATAAAACCATTTGGTGAGGCAGGTCTAAGGTGGTAAACATGGAAACTTGCTTAGGTAGGCAAGAGATGGGACAAAACTATGGTCAACCAATGATATTACAAGCACCATTGCTCAGATAAAATTGATAAAATCCAGTACCAAATGGGGAAGCGAGTCATGTATGAAGCAGGCATGAATACGGGACAGGGTCTCTTCCTAGTTGGGGTTGGGTTAGTGACTTATTTGGGCTCTTTCAAGGTGATTGATACCTATACAATATCAACCCCTGATGCCCATCCCTAGGGAAGTATGTGGCTGCATGGCTTCCTCTTTTGTCTTGAGGTCTGGCGCATAGGGAATGTCTGTCTCTTCCAAGTTGCAGAGTCACCTTGTCTTCCATATTGTCCTTAAGGGCCTGGCCCTGTCTAACTGCATATAATATTTCTAATTAGCTGCCTTCAACATTCCCCCCTCTGAAGAAGTAACCTGAACTGCCGTAAGGGAACCATGGCGATGACCACTCTGGTTTCTTCAGGCTAAAAGGGTTCATAGTTGTGAACCGGCAGTCAGAAATACTCTCCAGAGGTTCTATGTAAAGACCCTCAATAGACACCAGGAATTTTCATCTTGGGTAGGCAGGACACCTTTAAATCTGGAGGAGACAAACCAAAGAAACTATGAAACATGCATGGGCCAAATAATAACATCAGCAGGATAACTAAGAATACAGTCAAAATGATTTTCACAAGAAAACAGTATTGATTTGCCATAAAAATAAAGTCCAGGGGACCTCAGCATTTTACATAACATTGGATTTGATATCTTTTGAACAGCTATTGAGACATTAGCAGAAGGCTCTGGAATGCAATAACCTTTTAAATTTTGTAATTA